CCAGAGCGCCGGGAGGAGGGCGGAGAGCCCGGCTGGGGCTCTCCGCTCTCCCCGGCAGCCAGAGAGCCCCCGGCGGCCAGAGTGCCGGGAGCAGGGCGGCAAGCCCGGCCGGGGCTCTCTGCTCTCCCCGGCGGCCAGAGAGCCCCCGGAGGCCAGAGCGCTGGGAGGAGGGCGGCAAGCCCGGCAGGGGCTCTCCACTCTCCCCTGCGGCCAGAGCGCCGGGAGCAGGGCGGAGAGCCCGGCTGGGGCTCTCCGCTCTCCCCGGTGGCCAGAGAGCCCCCGGCGGCCAGAGCGCTGGGAGGAGGGCGGCAAGCCCGGCCGGGGCCCCGCTCTCCCCGACGCCGGAGCACTGGGGGAGGGCGGCGAGCCCGCTGCGGCTCCGCTCTCCCTGGCGGCCGGAGCGCCGCGGGGAGGGCGGCGAGCCCAGTCGCAGCCCCGCTCTCGGGCCGGAGCACCCCGCCGTGCCGCCCCCCTCCAGGCGCCACCCCAAGCACATGCTTGGTGGGCTGGTGCCTGGAGCTGGCCCTGTGGAAGGGGCTGTCTAGGTTCAAAAGTATTATCAATCCAAGACAAATGCATGGTTAAGCTGTAGGAAAGGCTGTAAATAATTATAAATACAATTTATACGAAAATAATCTTTAAAAATATGTTTAAAGTTTAAGGAACTTGGAAAGCCAAAAACTCCAAGTTTAATGGTAAAAATAAAAAAGTTAAACAGAAAGAACATAAATAAAAAGTTTATTTGACGTACTTTAACTCAACTCTGACCTGTATTCCCATCATGCACACAGATTCAATGGGAGACCATGAATATATAACCAAATACCCCAGTATTAGAGAGCCAGCATCTGTATCTGGTACATACTTCCTGAACCCTTTGGTTATTTGTCTACCCCCTAAAAATTAAATGCCCCCTTCCACACTGGTCCTGCAGTTCCACACATACATTGCAGCAAAGGTGGAAAATGAATTTAAATTACCAGAGAGCTGGAGACCACTTAAAGCTCAGTTCAGTCTCACAGGGCAAACAGCATTTCAACCAACTCTTCAAACCATGTTGCAGCCCTGTTAAAGTCAAGGCGGTAGCACGGCTCAGGAAAATGGTAACACGCAGCCTAACTCTTGTCTGCACTGTCAGACTGAACCATGCTTTAACTGTGTTCCCTCAAAATACTAGTAGTTACAAGTGAGGCA